CGTAAAAAAATTTTAAATATGAAAATATAATTCAATACAACTCAAAGTACTAAAAAATGCACGATACAACCTTACTCTATAAATGTGAACCTAGACAACTGCATTATACGAGGTCTCATATGTTGATAAGTAAAAAGTTACCTTTTCATTGCAATTACAGTTATATATTTTGAAGATAACTAAGACAACTTTAATAAATTAATAAATTGATGAAGTATCTATTAAGATCCGATATCAAATTATTGAATTTTAAACACCAAGAAAATAGAATTTTATTGATGAAATGAATTTTACACTATTTGAACAAAAACTCACACTTATTTTATTTGTATGACTTATATATATATATATATATATATATATATATATATATATGTGTGTGTGTGTGTGTGTGTGTGTGTGTGTGTTAAAGGTCGGCAGCCGATTCCTCTACCTAATTCTAGTATGTTGGTGAAGGTGGTTTCATTCTAGAGTAATCCTTTTATGGCAGCGGACTTTGTTTCCAGCAACTACTTATAGTTACACAATCCAATCAACGTCGATGGACGGTGGCGACGACAACAGCAGCAGGGTAGAAGAATTGGAGAATGAAGAAGGAATGGTTTGTCTGCTTGTTGGGGTTGATGGGTTGGGTGTTTCAATTACTATCGGTATTCCATCTCCAGATCAATTGGTTGAGCCAAGTTTTATTTTTTATTTTTAAAAAGGGGCCAACTTTCAGATTCTCAGCCCAAACATTAGGGCCAAAATACCCAAATTTTTCATTCATCTTCTTCCTCGCTTCCTTCCCTTTTTCAGTTCTTCCGGCTCTGCAACTTCCACCTGGTGGTCCCAGCAACTATTGAAGACTCCGAAAAGCTAGTACGTGCGGCCGCGCCCCCTTGCTGGGTGTTGCGTCCTCGACTAATATGAATTCTGGGTTAATATAATATACAAATCTAATAATTAAACAAGTTTTACAAAAGGATAATTAGTAAAAAAATATCCTTATCATTTTCACTCATTGTGAAAATAGTCTCTTTCGTTTCATACTTGACATTTTTTTCTCATTTCAAACATTTCCTGCAGAGGTGGTCATTTTCATCATGTACTGTGAAATATAGGTAATTAGTGCAAAAGCTTATATCGTTTGCCTTTATTGCGCAAATCATTGCTATTGTTTCACTTTTGACATTTGGACGCTCAAATTGATTCTTCGTGCAAAAAGTGTCTACCATCTATTTTCTCCATTAAAGCATTGTAAAATGATTAATTTACCTTCTTATTTAAATAAAGAAATATAAAAAAGAAACAATATAAAAAATTGTATCTGGAGTTCAGAGTTTTTAAAAAAGTACGGATGAGTCTCACATAAAAACAATTTAAAACATTATAATAAAAGAAAAATATTTTATCTTCCTAATTAACCCTCCTACCTCTAAGCTCATTCCATGCCGTCCACCGCTACAATCAAAATAATTAAAAAGAAAACTAAAAGCATAAAAAAAAGTAAGAAAAGAAATGAAAATTGAAAAAAAAAAAATGGTACTTCTTCCTCATCCAAGTTTTTTTTTTTTTTTTTTTTCTCATAAAAAGGAATTTTTTTTTTTTTTAAAAAAAAAAAAAAAAAATTAAAAAAAAAAAATGGTTCTTCTTCCTCATCCAAGTTTTTTTTTTTTTTTTTTGCCTCATACATAGGAATCTATCTTTTCTTGAACAAAATCAAAACAAAATTCAAAAGTTGATGCAGTTTATATAAACATATATCTATGTGTATGTAATCAACAAGAAGAAGATAGAAACGAAAATTTACTAGTAGTTAAATCCCTAAAAAAAACTCTTGTAATTTCACTTAAAATTTGATTGTAAGAATATAATTAAGCTCTATTCGACAACCATTCATTTCAAACTCTTTTTTCCCATGTTCATTATTGATCACACATTCTTACAATAAAATATTCTTCACGTAAACAGTAAACCCAAAATTTTTAATACTTTTAACCACACTTTTTCCAAAAATTTACTATTCAAGAACTTATTCTTTTCAAATTTTTTTTTTTTTTGTCAACAGGGGCTAAATTCCTGGATGGTGCCATAGTGGGATGGGGAGAATTGGTGGTGGTGTGAGGTAGTCGATGGTAGGGTGCGAAATTGGATGAGGAAGAAGCGTCATTTTGTCTTTTTAGGTTTTCTATTTTAAAATCTTTTCTTACTTTTTATATAATTTTAATTCTCTTTTTAATTATTTTGGTGGTGGTGGAGGGTAGTTGATGGGCATAGGGGTAGGTCGATTAATTAAGAAGATAAAATATTTTTCTTTTATTAGAATGTTTTATATTATTTTATGTGAGACTCATTTGTCTTTCAAAAAATCTTGGAATCTTAGATGCAATTTTTTGGTATTGTTTGTTTGTTTTTTTTATTTAAAAATGATGGTAAATTAGCCATTTTACATTGCTTTAATGGAGAAAATAGATGATAGGGACTTTTATGTAAAGAAAGATTGATTTGAATGTCAATGAAGGCAAACAACAGGGACCTTTTGCTCCGATTACCTATATTTACGGGAGGATTTAACAGAACTGATGGAAAGGATCGATCCCGCAAGAAAAAGTTTGAAATGAGGGTATAAACTTTAAAATGATAGGGACTATTCCTCAATGAGGGTAAACGATAGATATTTTTTTGCTAATTACCCTTTTACAAAATTAGTTTTAGATAATCTCTTTTGTTGATCCGAGTGCTATAGATAGTTAAATTTTACTTTATTGTTGGTGAGTTGGATTTGGAATGGTTACTCGGGAATGATGACTCATTGGGCAGGGAATTTCGTTTGGTTGGACCAGTGGGCGTAAAGAAAACAGTAAAACCAATGTTTTTAGCCAGTTAAGAACTACCCTGTCACAATTTTGAAAGGTTAGGAGTTAAGGTTCTATATTTGTAGGCTGAGGACTCAAATGTTGCATTTACTAAAAGTTGGGGACTCTAATTCAAAGTAATCCAAAGCAAACTAAACAGTATACACCATGAGTCGACTCAGGCCCAAATAAAGCATGCAATATCTTTTGCAATGGCCCAATAAAAATAGAAAATTACTAAGCCCATGTTTGATTCCCATTTTTGGGATAAAATATATTATGAAATAATAGCTTTTTGAAGAATATTTGGTTAAAAGATAAAGAATCTTTTTTTGAATTATGTGTATAATTGTTTTATAGAAGAATGTATGGTTAAAAATGAATTTTTAAAAAATGCATTCTTGAAAAAATAGGGCTCAAACAAGGTCTAAGTGAAAATTACACGGACTAAGTGGTTTCAAGATTTCTATTCATAATTAAGAGTTTTAATTTTTTCTTTCAAAAATCAGATATAATTAAGAGTTTGTTTGCCACTCATTATTTAGAAATTATAGAGTTTTGAATAATATTTTTTAGAGATTGTACAGTTAAAAAGTAAACAAACTTTATTGATTTGTGTTTAGAATATTTTATTATATGAATGCGCGGTGAAAAATGTTCTTTTAACAAACAATTTAAAATTTTAGAGGGTAACAGACAGGGGCTAAAATTCTAAATATTAATAATATTATTATAAAAACAAATTAATTGACATACTCCCATCCGACCAAACTCACTTCCAAACCATAAATATTTCCATTGCCATCTCTCTCTCCCTTCTCTCTATATCTCTCTCTAACAGTGTTGTACGTCAAAGGCGTGAGCGCTTCGAGAGGCCACGTAGCGTTGGTAGCACGAAGCAGTAATGACGTTCTCGATGGTAACATGCAACGACGGTGACACTCTCGAGAGGCCATGTAGGGTTGGTAGCTCCAAGTGACGATGGTGATCTCGTTGGTAGTACACAGCTACAATCTCAAGAGGCACGCAGTGAGGTGGTGCTACTTCTTGCGTTGGTAGCATGCAGCGCCGCTCTCATCGTTTGCGTTTCTCTGTTTACTTACGATATGTGTTTCACTATTTGCGTGTGATTTGTGGCAGGGATGAATCATTGGTGATATAGGCGATGGTAGTTGTGTCGACGACCGAAGCTGTGGGGATTTTTTTAGTTGGGGATTGTGGTTGTGGTGTGGTAGATGGAGGGCATGGTGGTGGTGTTGATGGTAGGGCTGAATTGTTGGTGGTGCAGATGGTGAGAAAGTGAGGTGCTGGCGGTGGTGGTGCTACAATGATGTTGAGGTGAGGCAGTGTTCTGTTGGTGCCGATTGTGGTTGTGACCAATTATTTGTTATTAGCATTGTTGTCATGATTGTTGTGAAGTAGTGGTAGTTTCTAGTGATGGATGTTGGTTTGTTTGAGATGATGGTGTTGTTGGGAGGTGGTAGCGATGGTTCTAGTAGCGGTGCTGCTGAAGATAGTGGTGAGGTGGTGGCCATAAATTATTTGGTTGATTGTAATCAATAAATTGGTTAATGTATGTCTAATAAAAAACATGTGATCAATGAAATAAATAAATTGTGACATATAAATAATGTGTGAATTAAAAATTTGTTAATTTGTGACCATACAATAAGTAGCAACTTATAAAATTTGTGACTTGTAATCGATAAAAGTTGTGACTTATAAATTTTTTATTTGTGAAAAATGAATAAATTGTGGCCTACAAAATTTTTTATTTTGGACTTTGAAATAATTTGTGACCCATAATTTTTTTTTATTTTTGACTAATTAATTTGATAATTTATGATCAAAATATATGAAATTATGGCCTTAATATATTTAAATAATAAAAAAATATTTAATTATTTATTTTATAAATAAAATTGAATTAATATCTAATTTTTAAAATTTTTATCCTTCTTTCTCAGTTTTGAAATTGGTGATAACTAATCTATCATATATGAAAATTTCCCAATTACCAAAGCCCAAGTTCGACTAGCACGAAGGCATGAAGCAAGATAATTCAGCATACGTGTCACTTGTGGCCTATATTACATTCCTATCCATCAAGCCATTCCATCCACACAAAAAAACCTGAAATAACTGTTATACAAAAATTAGAAAACCAAAAATATCAAAACTATTCAAATCAAGAAAAAAAACTGAAGAACACACTGCTAAAAGTTCTGATGATTTCTCTTTTCTTCCGAAATTAACTGTACAGCAAACTATTATTGTTTCATAATCCCAATGGCTACTGTCGCCACTGGTGCAGTGGTTGGACTAGGAGCGGTGAAACTCCATTCACTCTGCATCAAACCACACTCTTCATTTCTTGGCAAGAAGTTTAATCTTAAAACCATTTCTGAATCAAGTGCCCAAAGAAATTTCTCCACTTCCAGGTCTAGGAATCTAGTAGTTTTCGCCTCAGGAGGCGAAGTATTCAATTTTGTTCATGATCTTTTTCTGGGAGTTGGGGTTGGACTTCCCTGCACAGTCATGGAGTGTGGTGATATAATTTATAGGAGCACGCTGCCACGATCAGATGGGATCACTGTTACTGTCCCTGGTGTGATTTTAGCACTGGGCACTCTTTCGTATCTCTGGGCTACACCTGGTGTGGCTCCTGGGTTCTTTGATATGTTTGTACTTGCTTTTGTTGAGAAAATCTTTAGACCCACTTACAGGAAGGTTTGTGGATTTTGCTTTGTTGTTTTAAGTTTCTTGTGAAAATTACATTCATTTATGAGGTTTTAATTGGTAGTTTGATGTCAGGATGACCTTGTATTGGGGAAGAAATTGGGTGAGGGATCTTTTGGTGTGGTTTATAGGGCTTCCTTGGCTAAAAAGCCCTCAAAGGTATGTGTTTGACAAAAGTTCTCAAAGAACTAAAAGCATTCAATTTATTAAATCGTTTTTGTGGTGCTTATTGAATTGACTATATTGCTTAAACTTATGAGAAGGTTGCATTTGGAATTTTGATGTTGATAATGTTACGTTTCATGAATTAATCTTTTCATTAACCAGTTATCTTCGCTTTCATCAGGCAGGCACATAAGTTATGAGCATTTAAAATCACGTGTAGTTACAGGGCTTGTGCCTTAAACTTCTCTTAAGGAATTGGCCATTCCTCAGTACTAATTGTTTCTGGTGTTTGCCGAAAGGATGGTGACATAGTCTTGAAAAGGGCGACTGAATATGGAGCAGTTGAGGTATGGATGAATGAGCGTGTGAGAAGGGCTTGTGCAAATAGCTGTGCTGATTTTCTATATGGTTTTCTTGAGGTGTTGCTCTTTGTCTTTTTCTTCTTCTTTTCTTCTTTTTATTTTATTTTATTTTATTTTTATAATATCTTAACTTCATAATTTGACACTTCAAAATCTTCCAGAGCTCTTCAAAGAAAGGGGCTGAGTATTGGCTGATATGGCGGTTTGAAGGGGTAGCCACACTTGCTGATTTGTTGCAGAGTAAAGAATTTCCTTACAATGTAGGTACATTTTAAACCAGCCTCATTTTGGGAGAGAGGTGTAATCCATTGATCCCCCTTTTAAAAACTAAAAATAGTAAACTCGCCTCCTTTCATCCTTGATGTTAGGAAGTACTTTTTATTGGAATAGAGCTCCAAAATGAGATTTCATGTTTTCCAAGTTTTATGTGCATTGCAATCCTTTCTTCTATATGAATTAAGTGAGCACTGTTTTGAGGAGCTCAAGATTGAACCCTTGTTTTTAATGTGATGAAATGAAAAAATAACTTTAGCATGTGAACCAGTCAGCACACAGTTTCTATAGGACTTAAGTGAGCATTGTTTTGTGTCCCTTTCTCATGAGTATATGATCAGTGAATAAGTTATGATACAGCAGATGTGTCCAGAAACTCGCTGAGGGTAATGCTCACAAGAGACTCAATGATCACAACACCTAGCAGCAGTGGATTAAAATAGAGAGCAAAAATTCCTTATATCAATTTCTTGACTGGAGACTATTAGATTCTACCAGGGCCGAAAATGAAGAGAGCAGCGGGAAAGATAAAGAAATGGCATATTCTTTACCTTTATTTTAGAATTCTTACTTTTTATTCTTTCCTAATGTGAAAATTAGTTCCATGAATGAGAGGATTGATGCCTGAGAAAAAAAGGGTGTTATCCTGATGGATTTAGTATTTTTATCTCAAACCTACGTGATGTTTTATCTCGGGGGTTGACACTCATGAAGCCAAGTATTACAAAGCATGCTAAAACATGCACATTTTATTTCTATATCAGTTCTTCTATAGCTGCTGAATCCTTCACATGATTAAATGGAGCATTCAGCATATGCATATAGACATCAAAACATGTTACATATAATTCCTTTTCTAGCTTCTTTATGCTAATTTCAACTTTAGATCTGACGAGGACATCTACTTTTTATTTATTTTTAGTTGGATTTTATTTATGTTTTAGATTTTATTTATGTAATTGGGCTTGCGTTGGCTCAAGTCCATTCTACTTAGGATTTTAGTCTTTACTATTTAAACCTAATTGCGATATAATTTCATTAGTTTTGATGAATTGAAGAATATTTTGGTGGTTTGTTACCTATGACTTCTCCTTCCTTTCCCTCCTCCTTTTCCCCATGAATTTCTACTTCTTTTACGGTTTCTCCCCCTATTCTCTCCGGTTCTCCCTTCTTTCTTGCTTATTCTTTCTATTTTTTAATTCGTCCTGCATCAAATTTGGTATCAGAGCCAAAATTTGGGTAATTTTTCATTCACAATCCAAAACTTTCTTCCTATCATTTTCCCAAAAACTTGTGGAACAGCACAAACAAACAAAAATTGTTGTGAGGCAGCAGTTTTCTTGTTCAATTTTCTTTCTAGTTGATTAGGAAAAAAAAGTCACTGTTCACGAGTACTGTTCACACCCGGAATTCAGTTTTTTTTTTTAGATTTTTCAGCAGTTTCACTAAAAAAAAAAAAAAGTTACAGTTCACACCCGAAATTTCACTTTTTTTTTTATCATTTTCTCAGTTCCCCAAAAAATAAAAAATAAAAAAATAAATAAAAAATTCAGTTTTAGAGCTTTAGACGTTTGTTGCTGCTAAGTGTGTTGTTTCATAAAAATTTCATCCCTAACAATCAAACCATACTTACATTCAGCCTACATACAAGATCAGCCTACCTTACGTTAACCCAACCCTATAATAATCCATGTATCCACATATAATTATTAACCGCGAGCCCATTTCTCTTATCAAGACATTTGGGCCATAAACTAGTGGCCCAAATTACTCTCAATCCCAGTTAAAACTCACTCTCATTTAATCCAATTCAAACTCACAACCCATTTCTTCTCAGCCACTCGTCCAGATTAACCCACAGTCACCATACGTTCCACGACCACCATCACCGTCAATTGCCAGCAACCCACTGCCACGCCAGTTGTCATCCACCACTCGGAGTTCAGTTTTTGCTTTAGTTTTCACGTCGATGGACTTCTTCTGAGTTCAGAGTGCCAGGGACATTTGTTGAATTGGATTTGGCCTATTATTTGTATTGGGGCAGCTTGTTAAAACGCTTGAGTATTAGTGTTCCATTCAGTGACTCGACTATTTAGGAGTATTCCATTATAATTTTCTACTGAAGAGGTGCCAACTGGGAAATCATAATTGGGCACAGTTCTTATTCTTTGGGTTCCATCAGGTTTAAGCTTCCGTGAGCACCACCGCTACAACTAAATAACAGAGAGTGCTTGATTTCTATTTGTCATTGGTTTAAAATATTGCTTCATTTAAAATTGCATTGATCAAATTTTTGTGATGCTATTCTAACAATATACCTAAAGTCACGTGACTGAATCCGTTGATTTCGTCAAAACTCTATTTTACCCCACTTATATTACATGATTAGGTTTTGACTAGTATTTGATTTGTACTTTATTATTTTACATAGATCAGCAGTATTAGCTTGCCATATTTGAATTTACTTATCCTTGAAAAAAAAAGCTTAATTTGTTATTTTTCACTGCTTGCATTTATTGTTCATTGATCTCATCATTGCACGTCATTTAGCTAGTATTTCATTGCATGTAGTTGCGTAGTGGTCGTCTTGTTGTCTCTATTTCCAATACATTGACCATGGATCCATCCCAATTTGATGCACTCATTAGACAATTAGTGCAACTGCCACTAGCCTATCGACTGTCCAATCAGATATAACTGCTACTCGTGAGGAGAGAAAGAACCTAACTGCTAAGTTGAGCAATTTTAAGCGAACCCCTCGTTTGACTGACACTAATTCTGAAGCGTCTCATAATAGACAATATTATCGTGGACAAAGGGATCAAAAATATTTTCGACTCGATCGTAGGAATAGAGATCAGGTTTGTGAGCGAGAACAAGACCATAGTCATCACGGTACTCAATTCTCTTTCTTGTCGTAAGGAGCGTTTTTTTAAAGACATTGACTTAGATACTCCTACTTTCGATAGTTGTTTAGATCATGAAATTTTTACCCAATGGAACACCCTTACGCAAGGGAATCGGCTAGTGATTGTGTACATTGTTCAATTTGAGGAATTTCGAGTGAAATGTCATGTTGTTGAGGATGAGGCCCTGACTTGAAGTAGGTTTATACAAGGTCTAAGAGATGAACTTAGGCGTGAACTTTTCTTTCGAGGCATCACTACTCTTGACCAAGCTTATTCTTCAGCTCGGGACTACGAGTTACTTATTAGTACTCCATATGAAAAGTGCGACCACCATCGTTCTCCCATGTCATTAGCGCCACCTCAACATGAGTCTGTCATAGAGCCTTCCCTGTCTAATGTTCCTCCCATTTGGAAAAATAAGTGTAAAGGTCGTGATAGTCCAAGGCCCCCTTCTCCTTATAGAAAGCGTATTGACAACCATTCTTTCATCTCATTGGCTCCACCTCCTCTTGTTAAGTCTCTTCTAGGACCTCCCCCATCTAATGTTCCTCAAATCTTGGAAAATAAGGGTAAAATTTTTGAAACTCCAAGGACTTCTTCTCACCTGCTATGCATCAGCTATAAGAACTTTGGCCACATCTCTTTCAAATGTCCTAACCGAGCCTTAGTCATAGAAAAACGAAAGGATGTAATAGAAGAGTCGTTAGAAGATCTAGTGTACGAACCTAAACTTGAAGATTTTGATGATGATAGTGAAGACACCTCCTTAGGTGGCATCCAGATTCTTCCTGAGACTCTAGATACTATATCCCATGATTTCACTAATCACTTTTGGAGAACCCAGTCGCCTATGGTTAACACTAAATCGAAATTCTTCACTGCAGACCAACCACTGATAGTCAAAATGAAGTCGTTAACCAAAGTCCTAGCAATTTATTCAAGTTTCTAGTTCAGAAAAATCTTGAAAATTGGGACTCGATCCCCCTAACTGTTCACATTGCATATAACAATTCTATGAATCGGTCTCTAGGTCTAAATCCATTTGAAGTTGTTCATAGTTATAAGTCTAGGCAGTTGTTAGATCTTATTCCTATGTCCCCGCATGCTAGTGTGTCGTTGTCAGCTGAAGCATTTGTATGTCATCTTCATGACTTGCATATTGATATCAATAAACAACATGACACAAGTAATGCATTATATAAATTTCAAGCTGATTCGCATAAACGATATTTTGAATTTAATATTGGAGATTATGTTATATTGCAAACTTGTAGTGCTGGTCCTTTAAAAATTTTAAAGCATGTTGATTCAAATGCACATGTCATTGCCCTTTCATCACATTTTGGCTACCACTTTGCTTTAAATATTGAGGACTTCATTACTTACAAACACCGTGTTACTTCCTTTGATGATCCATTTCTACCTAGCTTTGTGGACCCCCAACTTGACTATATTGATATTTCTACTTCAATACCATCTATCACAGCATACAAAGATAAAATTGATATTATTTTAGATGAACGTGTTATATTGACCAATGATGGCAAGATCCAGTACTTCCCTGTTTGTTGGGTAGATCGACGCGCTTCTTATGCTCCTCATTATATACAATTATGTGAAAATCTTGAAGATGAGGTGCATGAGTATTGGTTATTTGGAGTCCAGTATCAGTACTTGGTTAGAAGGAAAGATCGTCCCCTTGGTCAGATCATATTCTTGGGAATAAGCTACAGTTTTCAGTACTATCAATTATGGAATTTCGTTACTTGGTTCGTCAGAAAGATCGTCCCTTGTGGCTTGACTTGAAGCATTTGGAATATCAGATTGACTGCAGTCTATACTATCTATCAACTCGATAGGGTTAAGTTTTTCTCCCACCCCGGGAGAGTTGATGAGGATAGCTACTTTTTATTTATTTTTAGTTGAACTTTATTTATGTTTTAGATTTTATTTATGTAATTGGGCTTGCGTTGGCCCAAGTCCATTCTACTTAGAGTTTTAGTCTTTACTATTTAAACCTAACTGCGATGTAATTTCAATAGTTTTTATGAATTGAAGAATATTTTGGTGGTTTGTTGCCTGTAGTTTCTCCTTCCTCTCCCTCTTCCTCTTTCCCATGAATTTCTACTTCTTCTCTGGTTTCTCCCTCCATTCTCTTCGGTTCTCCTCTCTTTCTTGCTTCTTCTTTCTATTTTTTAATTCGTCCTGCATCAAGATCTAAGGAAAATACCTGTTGTATATCATCATTTACACAATCTTTTACATATTGCTGAGGTATCAAAAAGAAAGTGAGGAGTTTTTGCTTTTTTTTTATTTGGCTGATGAGATTTTGACCCAATCAAATCTTGCCACATCATATATTGGTAAACAAATCTGTATGTTATGATATACCTATAGCACAACCGTAAATCTAAAATACCCGTCTAATCTTCCATCTTATATGGCCTTTAGGAGAATTTCAACCTCTGGAATAAGTTTTATGGTTGTCTCTATTTGCGTTGGTTTTTCTCAAACATTTACTAATAAGCATTTCTTCTTTATTTGTCACATCTATGAAAACTAAGGATGTCTTTTTGGTTAGAAGATTAAGTCTCAATGTTCCATGGGCATTATAGAACAAAATCATAAGTAGTAACTTCACTTTTCCAACACCAATTTCCTGATGGTTTCGAGTATCAGGTGGAAGCAATGATACTTGGGGAGGTTCAGGATTTGCCCAAGGGGATGGAGAGGGAAAACAGAATCATACAGACGATCATGAGACAACTGTTATTTGCATTGGATGGTCTACACTCAACAGGGATTGTTCATAGAGATATTAAGCCCCAGAATGTTATTTTCTCTGAAGGTGATTGCACCATCCGAAACATTAGTCGATTAGTTTATCCCAATACCTTCAATCCTTTTCCTTTTTTTTACATTTAAATTATTTTACCTATTCACAAGAAAATTGAAGCAGGTTCTCGAACATTCAAAATCATTGATCTTGGAGCTGCTGCTGATTTGAGAGTTGGCATCAATTATATTCCTAAAGAGTTTCTGTTGGATCCTAGGTAAACCTTTTTCCCTTGCAAAGAGGCATTAGTATCTGGACAACGAAGAAATGACAGTTACCAGCTGTGGATGTTTGTTTATTTGTTATTCATATCTTGAGTTCTTCATTTTTTATAATGATTCCTTACTGGACGCTGTAATCACTTGTACTTCCAGAACTTTTAGCGATATGGTTAATATAAACTTCTAGAAAAACGTATTTTATGTTCATGAAACTACTTGGATGATCAAAGGGACCAATTCTTTAGTTACTTGCATATAGGATGTTTTACAGACTATCAGCATTTTTAAACATCCCATGTCCAGAAAACTGGAAGTAGCTTGAATGAAGATAGATGATTTTATTGAATGCAAAACTAATTTCTCGATTGACAAGAGCTTTTCTCAACTTATGCAGTCAGCATCTAAAGGTCCATGAAACCAGTCTTTTTGCATCCATGGAAAATAAGCTTATTAACTATATATCTTCTTATTCTTCTTCACTCTCAAATTTCTTCAGTCCTTTCTTCCTCAGTTGTGTGTAACATATCTTCTCTCTTTTACGAACAGGCAAATACACACCAAAAGTTAGTCACAGGTCTTGGTATAGGTTGGCATGTATATACATTAGTTTCAAATCATACATTCAATTTGCATATCATTGTTATTGAATCAGGCTCATATGGTTCGACCTATTGCGCCTTTCCTCACTGGCCCTAAAGAATCTCTCCGTGAATCAAATTTACCAAGTTAGGGATACAATAGAGCCACATATCAGAGTGGCAGCATATGATATTTGAAGATCGTATACATGCTCAAAACTATTATTCTAATTTTAAATCTTATTAAGAACTGAATTATTATATACATTTTCTCTTCATCTTCAGATATGCTGCACCTGAACAATACATTATGAGCACTCAGACACCCTCCGCACCCTCAGCTCCGGTTGCAACAGCGCTTTCCCCTGTTCTGTGGCAGGTGTTATATTCACTCTATATTAAGTCTAGTTTTACAGCACTTGCTGAGCAATTAACATCTCTTCCATGTTTGATGCTATACTTCAACAGTTGAATCTACCAGATAGATTTGACATCTACAGTGCAGGTCTCATATTTCTACAAATGGTAAGTGATGAATAAATTATTAACTATTATATTTTTCTTTTAAGTCTTCATTTGCAACTTAAAAAGTACTAATCAAATATTCAGGGGAAGTAGTAGTTTTTTTTTCATTTTTTTTGGTGGTTATGGGTACAAACATTGCTGTGGGAGTTGCAAAGAATCTAATTGCTCTATATCTTCCACTAGATTAGTAATGAGCCCACTGGCGGAAAAGTTTTCATGTAGCTGGCTCCAAATTCAGTAGGGAGAAGAATTAGTTTGTCTTTGTTGTTGGTCTTCTTTGTCCCGTAAATCCAGGATCTAAATATGTGAAGATTAAGTCGGTTCCCTGCCCTTTCCAGTATCAGCTTATCAGATTCAAAGTGAAGGCTAGGAAATTGGAAGTACTTTACAATACACACACACACACACACACACACACATATTAGTTAATTGACAAGTTGATCATGCAACGGATCCAACCCAAATGAAATTCTTTTCAACTATTACCAAAAAGAGATATTAAATGCAAGAAGGTTGTGTTCGGTTATGCATGTCCTAGTAGCAAGAATAGTTAACATCTTCTAAAAGGCACTTAAATGTTTGAAGCTCCCATTGTATCTTCTCTGTTTGGCCTAACACATAAATGATCCGATCTGCAGGCATTCCCATCATTGCGAAGCGACAGTGCTCTCATTCAATTCAACCGTCAATTAAAGAGATGCAATTATGACTTGGTTGCATGGAGAAAATCTGTCGAGCCTCGTGCTAGCCTAGAACTTCGACGAGGATTTGAATTGTTAGATCTGGATGGTGGAATAGGATGGGAACTTTTAACATCAATGGTTCGGTATAAAGCACGCCAAAGAATTAGTGCAAAGGGAGCGCTAGCTCATCCGTACTTCGACAGAGAAGGCCTATTGGTTTTGTCCTTCATGCAGAATCTACGGCTCCAATTCTTCCGGGCTACGCAACAGGACTATAGTGAAGCTGCCACATGGATTGTTCAGCTCATGGCAAAATCAGGAACGGAGCGTGACGGAGGCTTCACTGAAGCACAGCTGCAGGACCTCAGGGTCTGTATCTAAATGCACTTCTACACGACATAATTTTTGCAGGTTTATGGATAAAGTTTTACAACTTCTCGTTACCTCCTGTACAGGAAATTGAGCCTAAGAAGAAGTCGAGTGCACAGAGGAATGCCCTTGCATCAGCTCTTCGGATTCGAAGGAAGATTATTAGGACAATAAATGAGAGTATTGATGAACTTAACCAGAGCAGGAAGAGTTTATGGTGGAGCAGATGGATCCCAAGAGAAGAATGATCACTGTATATATACTACACCTTCTCACTGTTTATGTAAATTTTTTGCAGTCATCATCTCTACAAGAAATGTAAGGAGTGACCTAATGTTTAATGTGGTGAAAAACATTAGTGCAAATATCTGCTTTGGTATTAAAAGAAAAGCAAATGTACACTTGATTACTTTTCATATTACAGAAATATAGAGTTGAATTTGCTATAGCCTCGCTCTTGTTGCATCTCCCCCACCCCAGGAGCACATAGACACCCCAAAAATATAAAGAATAAAACTAATCATTCGCAGGGTTTCTTCAGTATATCCTTTGTAGATAATGGAATCACTCTACTAGTTAAGAACTCGACTTTTGGCTTATAAAAACTTCACACATATTCTCCTTAAAGTTGGTTTTAATGGTGAATTTCATTAAATGAGTCTTCAACAGTATTGTAAAAAGCAAACAACATTTTGTTGGATGTTTGGAGCTTAATTATACCGTATACTTTTTCTCAACTGGGATTCAACAATAAAATTCTAGTTGTCATTTAATTTAATACTCTAACTATCAATTATTTAATACTATATCTATTTTTAATACCAACTGTAAATTATGTAGTTATCTGTTATCTTTAAACACATTTTCTTTCTTCAAAATTGTTAATTAATGCATATTATTTAGTTTTAATAAGTTATTGATAACGAAAATAATTATCTATTAAGTAAAAAATTGTGTAATCTATTGCCAATATACCCTCGTTCGTTTCTCATTATTAGCTCATTAACATGAAAAATATGATCGTTATTCATCACATCAAGTCACAATATTTGACTTCCTATTTTTTGCGTGAGGCCTATAACGACTATATTTTTCATTTTCATTTTTACATTAATATGCACCAAACGGGGCAATGAGTTCTAAAAGAGTTTAAAATCAATAAAACTCTTCTTCTTCATGTATTCTAACGTGTCCGATACGTATTGAAAATTTTCATATCTGAAACGTATCAAAGAGTGTTCAAACTCGAATACGATTGCACAATAAGTTTACAAGCTTGTAAGTCAGTCATAGCAAAAATAGATGACAAATATGTATTTGACAAATGATGAATAACCCATGGAAATGGCCAAGTACTATGCAATCCTAATAGTAACAACATGGCCAAACGTCTTACTCAAATCAATATGACAAGAGTATCATATAAGTCCACGACAACCACACAAGTTTTGTTACGCTTATATTGCCATCAGAACGAGTTTAATCTTGTAAATTTATTTGTGGCCATATGACATTCTTAATAGAATCATAAGGATCATCAAGTTAGACTCAACCATAAGAGTTCGGCCCATCGCACTCAGCGAGATTTCTACTAAAGATAGAATTGTACAGGGAGAAAGCACTCTACTCATCCAACGCCTCTAGGTTCAATTGAAAATCCCATGCTTTGATTGTTGCCCCCCTTGAGTCTCTAATTTGGGACTGGTCTATAAGAAGAGCACATAACGAGGCCTACCAAATTGGAGATGGGATTTGTTACAAGACCAAACTAAAGCCCCAACTCAACACAACTGTGATCGAGTGGTCAATGCTTGTGCTAACGTAACGTAATACAAGTCTACGTGAGATCAGAATCACTCGGTTCAGCTACACATACACAAAGTTTGAACAATACAAGAAAATTAAGCTCAACTAGATGTTTCTGTCTTTGCATCCACAAAATAAGCTGAATTTAAAGAAGCTTATTTCAACACATTATCACTTATCCATGATTTTAGGTTGTGACATGAACACGAAAGTAAGTCTGGATCTCGAGAATCCAAGAAATGTGAAAATTGTGTTATCTCGTGTGCCAAAGGGCTATCCTTTTTTGTTCTACAAAAATTGTTCGGTTTTTTTTTTGCTAATTTTAATAACTTGACCAACCAAATGAAATTGATCACAGCGCAACTTCAGGTGGCCGAGCTCGCAATTCAACATCTATTCTGATAAGTGTGTTTTTATACACTTATTTAGTTCACAAATATGACTTAATTATGATCAAAGAGTTTGAATTATGGCTTAATTTTATATAATTTTATTTTGTAGGACTATATTGATGAATGTGGTAGAATTTAAGAGAAAAGAAACGAAAAAGAACCAACAAGGAAGAAAATCCAAAGTATGAGGACTAAGTTGCAATATTTCAATAATTGATTCAGATTACAAAATGAAGATTAAAGATGTTGTGGATTCAATTGGATGCAATTAAAAGCCAAAGGGTTGAAAATACAAGAGAAAAGACTTGAAAGAATCAAAAATCGACTGGGGCTAAAATACAATATATGGAAGAAATTTTGCTTGGACGACATTCCAGTTATAAATACCGGACGATCGCCCAACATGATTTTTTAATTATTGAGAAGAAATTCTTAACCTGAACGACTACCGGAGTTTTGCCTGGGCGATAGCCCAAGCCAAGCGTGGCGAGAAAATCTGATTTTTTTTTTGAATAAAATTCTTATGAAAACAAATCTTGAAGAGTCTTTTAAAGCTTTAGGGACGTCCAAAAAACATAGACCACGCATTATGCATTATTTTGGAAGGATTTGAAGAGAAAGAAGAAGGAAGAACAAGAATATTCAATCCAAAATTCAAGATCTCACTTCAAGAATTTCAATAGGGTGATGTATTTTCTTGATTTTTATTGTTGTGTTCTTTTTCCCATAATGTTAAGCTAGAAAAGTCTATACTAGGAGATCAATGAACCTTGTAATTTGACATTTAATTCTTTGTTCCGTATTTTCAACATTAAAACACGTATTGATTGTTTTGAATGATTTATATGCATTTAATTGCTTCCATGATTATAGGCCCGTAATTGTGTGAGTTTTGGTGGTTTGTTTCATTTATTCGAAAGAAGATGAATAAATTCGATAAGGTATAATTCATTATAGGGTCTAATAGGGGATAAATATACCCTTATACTTTGCGTGAATCTCTAAGTATTCACAAAATTACATGTATTCTCGTATATTTGCATCCATCATAGATATATAGGCTGGTGGTGTATGAGAATATGTTCAATTCATCTCGAGAGAGAGTCTTGGATAGATTTAAGAGTATTGATTTTTCAAAATGTCATCGTGTTGTCAAGTGTGAAATTAAGGTTAAATTAAACATTACTTGAGAATTCGTGATCCAGTATATCTCACATTCATTGAATACATTTAACCAGAGTCCCAATTATCAAACTGCATTTTAGTTAAAATAAACGTTGTTTTGTATAGCATACCATCCAATTCACAATATTGGTACTCTAGCTTAGATTTAGGATTTATTAGGATAAAAACTCATAATTGATCATTTACATTCGGTTAGGGCCGAGATAAATACAATTGAACTACTCAATCTCTGTGGGACGATATTCGGATTATAAAAATTCACTTTATTATTTGTTAACGAACCGTACACTTGACGTGATTTAAATCGAAAAAAAATACTTCGTGAACATATTCCGTAAATTTCCAGAAAATAGAAAGAAAAAATAAATAAATAATTAAAATGTCTTGTGATACATTCGATTAACGTATTATATTTCTATCTTGCAACTAGCAAAAATCTTGCTGTTAGTGTACGAAATTCAATTAATGCCATGAAATGCAAATTAATTGCCAATAAGTAATTATTATTCGTACCTCCTAGCACATTCCCATATACGCAACACTAAAATTTCTCAAAGTCCTCATTTTGAAGAAAGTCCTGTAGAAATTCGGTACGCATGGAGATACAACTGTGCATGGCTAAGCACAGCGTACAATTCACTTATAATCAATCATAAAAAAATCCCTTAAAATCTTATTAATTTTGCTTAATTACGTGTGCCCTTTGGAGTAATTGAAAACTTAAGGAGTACATACTCAGAACTGCTTTTGAATAAGCTTTGTCCAGCTCTGCTCTTCAATGCTTGTTTACTTTAATCCATTTACACCTCCAAAGTATTTTTGTGGGAGCAACAGATCCCAAAACCGCATAATTTCTCCTTCTAAATTGGTTTTCCCAATGAAAGAAGGCATTCTAAATTTATCTAAAGGGCTATGTCACTAATCTATATCTCGACTAGTGATCAGTCTCGTCTCATATGAAAAATATTAGAGGAAGCGATAATCAAATCACACTTCCAAACAAACCTTATCTGGAGTTTAGTGCAAAAAAAAGTAATATGACTAAAACCTGAATTTTTTCATGTGAGTTGATCTTGAAGGAAATCCTGGTAAGCCTGGCCTTTAAATAATCGAGTATTAGAACCAGACATGGACCAGATATCTCAGTATGATAAGATTGAAACCTTAGTCATAAAAATAATAATTAATTTGGCTATGTCGAGAATACCAGGAGCAGCAACTTGTGAACAATGTGACCTTCACGTGTGACCTGTCTTTCATGCACTGTACAACTTAGTATAATTATAAACATATAAACAATATAATAAATCAGCAAGGGACTTTTCATAAAGAAGAACAAATGATAAAGAAGGATAGATGTTCTGCTGTAAGAAAAATACTTTGTGTATTACAATTGTTTGGCTTTTGTACACAAATTGCAATGAGGGCAGCAAGCTATGTATATACATAAACCAAAAAAGCTATACTAGGAAGCCTATTAATAGTGAATCAATATACAAGGAATAGCAGCAAATTTACAGCAACCGTGTCCATGATTTGTGGCTGTAGACTGGTTGATTATCCATGATTTTAGAGATGAGATTAACAGTCCATGATTTGCTCCTGTAGATTGGTAGTGTGACCAAGATTATAGGGCTAAGATCAAGGATCTTTTTCACGCCCTCGCAAGACGGTGCTTCCATCGGCAACACTGATCTTGGTGCGAAGCTCCTGAAAGCGAGTCTTTGAAAGAGCCTTCGTCATGAGATTCGCAAGTTGATCACGGGTAGATATATGAGATACATTGAGCAGGCCTTTGTTAACATAGTCCTGAACAAAATGAATATCAATGGCAATATGCTTCATGCGGGAATGTTGAATAGGATTTAAGCTGAGCTGAGTAGCACCAATATTGTCACAGTATAATTTTGGTACAGTAGGGAGAGTCACCTGTAGTTCTTGAAAGAGGGAAGTAAGCCATGCTATTTCTGAAGCAGTAGTCGCAAGAGCACGATATTCAGCTTCGATGGAGGAGGGCGCAACAGCGCGCTGTTTTCGTGTGCTCCAGGATATAGGATTGTTGC